GTGCCACCATGCCCAGCCAATTTTTTGTAGTTTTAGTAGAGACGGGGTTTTACCATGTTGACCAGGATGGTCTCGATCTCTTGACCTCGTGATCCGCCCGCCTCGGCCCCCCAAAGTGCTGGGATTACAGGCTTGAGCCACCGCGCCCGGCCGGTCCCTGTTTTTCTTTTACTCAAACTTTTCCCACCTTTAAAATGCTTGCTCTAAGTGTCCATTCTTGGAATTTCATCCCATTTTAGGTTTGTACATTTCCAGGATGAATACTGGGTCCTGCATGCTTAAGTGGAGAGGGTGCACGTTCTGTTTCTTTTTAATGAATGACATGTGAACTTACAAATAGTGGCACCCACAGCCCTCTCCTCTCTATCTGACCTAGCGGGATCTAGCTAGTCTTCCTTCAGGGCTTCTTATGTGCCTGGCACTGGGATGGGTACTTTAAGATGTATTATCTTTGGGTTTCTCATAATAAAGCTGGCACTCAGGTAACTATTTCCCATTTCTATAGAGAAGCTAAAACTTAGGGACTTTATGAACTCATCTGAGAATGTTGCGCATGAATGGCCATGCTGGAATTCAACCCAGTTCTTCTTACTCCAGAATTCCTTCCGTTTCAATCAGAACACAAAACATTCACCCCTTTTATATGATAGTTGGTTAGTGTTTTTCCAGGAATGATAAAAGTAATGATTAAATAGGGAAAAAAGAGACAGGAATGAAAATTACCAAAATGTTAGTTGCCGTCATTGCCAGTACTTCCATGATGAACAGATGTTGCTTAATTGATTTTTTTTTTTTTTTTTTTTGAGACAGAGACTCACTCTGTCACCCAGGCTGGAGTGCAGTGGTGTGATCTTGGCTCACTGCAACCCCCTCCTCCCAGGCTCAAGCAAATTCTCCTGCCTCAGTCCTCTGAGTGGCTGGGATTGCAGGCAGGCACCACCAGGCCTGGCTAATTTAGTAGAGATGGGGTTTTACCATGTTGGCCAGGCTGTGATCTACCTGTTGTTGACCTCAAGTGATCTACCTGCCTTGGCCTTCTAAAGTGCTGTGATTACAGATGTGAGCCACTGCGCCTGGCCCCTTAGTTGACTTTAAAAAGTAAATGATCAAGCTAGGCATGGTGGTGCATGCTACCTTAGCAAGACCCCACCTCTGATAAAAAAAAATAAATCAGAAGAAATAATGAATTGTCTTCATGACTCTGTAGTTTACTCAGTTTTGAGTTAAATAGACCTACCTTGTTATTTTCTGGGAACTTAATGATCACTTGTTACTTGGGATATATGGGAAAATGCATTCCTGATTTTAAATAACCAATTTTAGAGGGACTTTTGAAACCCAGTCAGACCGTAAATTGAGGACTACCTATGTATGTAGATGATTTCATGTTTGAAAGAAAAAATACCTGTTATTTTTGTCCCCATTTATTTAAACCAAAATTCTCTTAAACTGTAAATAGATAGGATTGAATAATACTTGCTTAATCCTGTGCTGTTTGGTGTTAACGTAGTTTTGTTTTCCAACACTAGGTGTTAACATGTATCACCACTTCTGTGATTTCATCAATCTTTATATTACCCAGCACGTTAATAACTCATTCAGTACTGATGTGTACATCGTGATGTGGGACACCGTAAGTAAGAATGTGCTGTCTGCTTCAGCACTGTCTTTCCCTTGTATAAGTGTGTGACTCTCATCTTGTGAAACAGAATTTTTGAAGACACATACATTTAAACATACACACCTGCACATATGTGGATGGGTGTGAATTTATCTGTATATACATGCATTGACATGTACATATACATATAGGCAGATACGTAGGTATGTGTGTACCTTTGTTCTTTGAATTTTAGAATGAGGCAGTGGGAAAGGTTTCTTTCCCTTTCTAGGTGAGTGGAGCTCCAAAGGCCAGAGATTCAGTGACTTTGGCTCAGTGTTCTTCTGCGACAGATATATGAAAGACTGCCATTCATCTAGGCACGGTGGCTCATGCCTATAATCCCAGCACTTTGGGAGGCCAAGGTGAGTGGATCACTTGAGGCCAGGATTTTCGAGAGCAGCCTGGCCAACATGGGAAACCTTGTTTCTACTAAAAATACAAAAATTAGCTGGATGTGGTGGCACACACATGTAGTCCCAGCTAATTAGGAGGCTGAGATCAGAGAATCACTTGAATCTGGGAGGTGGAGGTTGTACTGATCCAAGATCATGGCACTGCATTGCAACCTGGGTAATAGCAAGACTCTGTCTCAAAAAAAAAAAAAAAAAAAAGGCTGTCATTCGCTCAACCTCTATAACCTGTGTTAGAAGTGCTTTCCTCTGTTTACTTTTTGGCCTCTTGCATTTACTGTCTGCCTTTGCTTAATAGCAGCTTCCTCGTTACTATGTCCTTTGTGCTAAATTATGCTGTGTGTTTCAGCTCACTCTATAGGGCAGGTCTTAGGTGTGCACATAAATACATCTGTTGAGTGACACCTGCTGTTTATTTGTTTTTAGTGCAGTCTTTTTTTCCTTCTCTCTCTTTGCCTGCCTTTTCCCTGCTTCTTCCCATATCTGGCCCCTCTACCTGTTGAGGAAACCCCAAGATGTGCCCCAGTGTCTTCAGCTGTGAAATGAGATAATGACATTTACCTAGGTGTCATTTTGAGAATGAACCATATAGTGTGTGAACAGTCACAGTGCCTGGTACACAGTACTTGTGCTCTGAATGTTAACTGTGACAATTACAATAAGGAGAATAAATGGTTTGTAGTGTACATGAGAGAGGTTGCCTAAACGGGGAAGTTGGAACACCCACCTGGGGTCATCTAATTTTCTACTGAACATTTGGACTGACAAGACACTCATATGCTCGGCTCTTGGTGTGAGACTATTCAGGATTACATTGCAAGGGAATCACCGCTTGCTGGCAGGGCAGCCTCAGGTGTTTCCAGAGGGCATGCTAGTAGTTCATACAGCACAGATCAGCTGCAAGGAGACAAGATTCATCTGGGGGAGGTACAGGCAATGTCTTGGCTTACGAGCCTCATATCCTGCAGGGGCCAACATCTCCTGACACTACCGCATTGGAAAAGCCCCAGGATCCCTGAAAGACATGCCAGGTTCCAGGAGTCAGTGGACTCAGGGAATCTGAAACATGGCTTTCCCAGTGCAGAAGCAATTTACATATCAAGCATCTTTTTAGATCAGAAGCAATGTTGCCTAGGCACATGGTTGACACAAGCTGTCTTCATTTCCATAGAGCCGAGTTAGCCAGTTAACAGAAGGTCAAATTCTCATGCAGAAGGAGAGAGTTTTGCTGACCCCTTTTTCACTGATCAGAGGCTTGTAGTAGAGCTGCGTAGAAAGGTTTTCAGGGTCACTGCTCCCTAGACTTTGAGTTAGATTTGACATCTGATGAGACTGTAATTCTTGGCATGTTAATACTTTCTTTCATTTTCCATCTGTATGCATTTACATTTCCCTCTTGTATTTCAGTTTTGCTGCCACCACAGTTTCATTTCTTGGAAATGTTTTGTGAGCAAAGGGAACAACAGTTCCTTTCTTTTCTTCTTTTTGTGTCAGTGCAGTCAGGCCACAGTCACCAGCCATGAGAAGCCCTAAATGATTAACTCGGGACTGTTTTGCCCTTTCTAAGCAAAGCTATTTTTAAATTTTGTAATTAACATAAATGATGTTATTTAATTTCATGCTCATGACTCCTCATGTACTTTAGTTTTCATTAGCTTATTTTATAGACAAGAAGCCGAGGCCTGAGCAGCAGGTGAGTGTTCTAAGACGATGTAGTCAGTGAAGGTGGAACCAAGGATTCCATCCAGGCAGCCTGACTCCAGACCTGGGCTCGGACATCACAGTGCTCTATCATCTTCCTAAAGTCCTGTGAAGAGGACTCTACCTAAGTTGCCAGACTAAGTTGACATAAGGTTTATCAGATTCCTTCCAGAAGCTTCCTTGTACCTGTTGCATACTTTTCCCCGTCTACCTCAAATGGACTAAGCTATAGTGAGCCAGCTTCTACAACCCTCCCCTTCTCTGTGCCTGCCGGAGTAGGATACACAGCCACCCTGAAGATCCCAGGTTACTCAGTCAGCTGAGCACAAGACATGAGGGCAGTCTGACTTCGATTCTGGCACAGATAAGCAGGATGGGTGTTGCCCAGCAGGGTGGCTGTTCGGTGTTACCCCTCTCCTTGGCCACTCCCTGTGCATATGTTTTAAACCTGCACTCTTGGTCAAAGAGGCTTTTGCCATTTACTCAGCCAGGTTCTCAGAACAGGCAACTCTGCCAGATTACTCCAGAATTCAGGCCCACAGACGATGGTAGGTTGGATGGGGATGGTGCTAAGCAAGGGTTTTTGTGGCTACTGTTTCTCTTTTGTTGGTAAGGACTTACATTAAGCAGCACTGTCACCTGCAGGGTGACTGTGACATGAATCCCCCTCAGTGGATGGTGTTCTCGGAGTCCTGATGGTCTGGGATGAGCAATTTGCCCAGGAAAGAGCAGGGAGGTAGTAGCTGCGACTACAGATCATGTCTTGGTGATTTTCCCCACAGTTCCCACAAGGAAGCCTATGGGGCCTTCCCTTTCCTCCTTGAAAAACTCTGCAGTTTACTCCCTTCAGCATGTGGCCTCCTCAGTGGGATGGGCAAGGCCACCAACCTGCAAACATGCATAGAAGGACCCATCTTCAGATGCCTCTCTGGGCACAGCAGGGCCGCTCTTATCAAACAGAATAAATAAGAGGGGAAATTACTGCAGGCTTTCCACATTTGCTTATGCTGAGAAGTAGTATAGCTTTATGATTATTTTGTTTGTTTTTCAGATGGAATCTTGCTCTGTTGCCCAGGCTCCAGTGTAATGTCCCGATATTGGCTCACTGTAAGCTCCGCCTCCCAGGTTCAAGCGATCCTCCTGCCTCAGCCACCCCAGTAGCTGGGATTACAGTGTGTGCCACCACACCTGGCTCATTTTTGTATTTTTAGTAGAGACAGGGTTTCACCATGTTGACCAGGCTGGTTTCAAACTCCTGATCGCAGGTGATCCTCCCACCTTGGCCTCCCAAAGTGCTGGGATTACAGGCATGAGCCACTGCATTCAGCCATGATTACTTTTTAAATTATGAAAGTAATACCTGCTTATAATGAGTTCAGACAACACAGAAGTATGCAAAGTTTTTAAAAAAGCCTCCTTCTTCCGCTTCTCCAATTCCCTGTTCCCCCAAGGGTAACTGCAATTAACGTGTGTGAGTCCCTTGCAAGAGTCTTTTTGTTTTAATAAGTACAAATATGTCACCCAGGCTTAAGTCCAGGAATATGATCCTAGCTCGCTGCAGCCTTGCTTTCCTGGGCTCAGGTGATCATCCTGCCTCAGCCTCCCAAGTAGCCAAGACTACAGGTGCATGCCACCATACCTGGCTATTTTTTTTCTATGTATATGTTATAATAGTATATATATAGTTATATATAGATCTATATATATACTATATGTGTGCGTGTATGTATATAATATATGTTACTGTCTTCTGATTTGACATCTGGCTAATATTTAAATTTATTTCCTGTAGAGACAAGATCTTGCTATGGTACCCAGATTGGTCTTTGATATGGTTTGGCTGTGTCCCCACCAAACCTCAACTTGAATTGTATCTCCCAGAATTCCCACATGTTGTGGGAGGGACCTAGGGGAAGGTAATTGAATCATAGGGGCCAGTCTTTCCCGTGTTATGCTTGTGATAGTGAATAAGTCTCATGAGATCTGATGGGTTTATCAGGGGTTTCTGCTTTTGCTTCTTCCTCATATTCCCTTACGACCACCATGTAAGAAGGGCCTTTCCCCTCCCACCATTTTTCTGAGGCCTCCCCAGCCATGTGGAACTGTAAGTTCAATGAAACCTCTTTTTCTTCCCAGTCTTGGGTATATCTTTATCAGCAGCCTGAAAATGGTCTAATACAGAAATTGGGTACCAGTAGAGTGGGGCGTTGCTGAAAAGATACCTGAAAATGTGGAAGCAACTTTGGAACTGGTTAACAGGCAGAGATTGGAACAGTTTGAAGGGCTCAGAAGAAAACAGGAAAATGCCAGAAAGCTTGGAACTTCCTAGAGACTTGTTGAATAACTTTGCCCAAAATGCTGATAGTGATATGGACAATAATATCCAGGCTGAGGTGGTCTCAGATGGAGATGAGGAACCTGTTGGGAACTGGAGGAAAGGTGACTCTTGTTTTGTTTCAGCAAAGAGACTCATGGCATTTTGGTCCTGCACTAGAGATTTGTGGAACTTTGAACTTGAGAGAGATGATTTAGGGTATTTGGCAGAAGAAATTTCTAAGCAGCAAAGCATTCAAGAGGTGCTGTTAAGAAAATTTGCAGCTTGACTATGCGATACAAAATAAAAACCCATTTTCTGGGGAGAAATTCAAGCCAGCTGCAGAAATTTTCATGAATACCAAGGAGCCTAATGTTAATCCTCAAGACTATGGGGAATATGACTCCAGGCCGTGTCAGAAACCTTTACGGCAGCTCCCCCCTGGGGGCCCAGGAGGAAAAAGTGGTTTTGTGAGCTGTGTCCAGGGTCCCTGTGCTGTGTGCCCCAGCTACTTCTGCTGTGGCTGCAAGGGGTCAACGTACAACTGGGTCTGTGGTTTCAGAGGGTGGAAGCCCCAGGCCTTGGCAACTTCCATGTGGTGTTGAGCGTGCAGTGCACAGAAGTCAAGAATTGAGGTTTGGGAACCTCTGCCTAGATTTCAGATGTATGGAAACGCCTAGATGCTGGGGCAAAAATTTGCTGCAGGGGCAGGGCTCTCATGCAGAACCTCTGCTAGGGCAGTGTGGAAGGGAAATGCGGGGTTGGAGTCCCCACACAGTGGTGTTGCCCTAGTGGAGCTGTGAGAAGAGGGCCACCATTCTCCAGACCCCAGAATGGTAGATCCACTGACAGCTTGAACTGTGCGCCTGGAAAAGCCGCAGACACTCAATGCCCACCTGTCAGAGCAGCCAGGAGGGAGATAGTACCCTGCAAAGCCACAGGAGCAGAGCTGCCCAAGACCATGGGAACCTACCTTGTGCATCAGCATAACCTGGATGTGAGACCTTGAGTCAAAGGAGATCATTTTGGAGCTTTAAAGTTTGACTGCCCCTCTAGATTTTGGACTTTCGTGGACCCTGTAACCCCTTTGTTGTGGCCAATTTCTCCCATTCGGAATGGCTATGTTTACCCAGTACTGGTACCCGCATTGTATCTAGGAAGTAACTAGCTTGCTTTTGGTTTTACAGACTCATAGGCAGAAGGGACTTGCCTTTTCTCAGATGAGACTTGGACTGTGGGCTTTTGGGTTAATGCTGAAATGAGTTAAGACTTTGGGGGACTGTTGGGAAGGCATCGTTGGTTTTGAAAGGTGAGGACACAAAATTTAGAGGAGCCAGGGGCAGAATGATACAGTTTGGCTGTGTTTCCACCAAACCTCAACTTGAATTTTATCTTCCAGAATTCCTGTGTTTTATGGGAGGGACCCAAGGGGAGGTAATTGAATCACCGGGCCGGTCTTTCCCATGCTATTCTCATGGTAGTGAATAACTCTCAGGAAATCTGATGGGTTTATCAGGGGTTTCCGCTTTTGCTTCGTCCTCATTTTCTCTTGCTGTTGCCATTTAAGTGCCTTTCACCTCCCACCATGATTTTGAGGCCTCCCAAGCCATGTGGAACTTTAAGTCCAATTAAACTTTTTCTTCCCAGCCTAGGGTATGTCTTTATCAGTGGCGTGAAAGTGGACAGATACAGTCTTGAACTCCTGGCCTCAAGTGATCCTCCTGCCTCAGCCTCCCAGAGCACTGGGATTACAGCCATAAGCCACCATGCCTGGCCAATATGTTTATATTCTTATGGAAAATATACTCTCTGTCTCATACTGCCACCTTAATATTATCTCCAGAACATCTTTCTAAGTCAGTACATTTAGGGCTATACTTGCTGTAGGTGTCACGTGGTGTTCTATTCAATAGATGTTTTGGAAGTTGGATCCATTATTCAGTGCATGCATTCATTTCCCGCCCCCACATCACATTTAGTTTTGTTTCAGTTCTTTGCTATTTACTGAAATGCGACTACAAATACATATGTCCTTTCAATATACCTGTATCTTCACATGCTTATCCTAGCATTTCGGTGGGACAGATTCCTGTAAGTGAATTTCTAAGTCATAGATTATGTGCATGTTTAAATTTGAGACACTAAAGGAGATTTTGTGTCGTCTTGAAGACTATCCAAATATTCTTCAACATGAGTGTAGGAAGAAGACCGTCCTTCCCTCTTGGTAGATAATTTGGATTTGGGGAACATGGAAAAGAAGCTTCCGGAGGTGGTTCTTACTAAATAATGTGTGACTTCCCTGAGGAAGGATCAGTCAGGATTACTGTATTTCATTATTAAAATTTCCTTTCAAACATATCTTATTTTATCTGAAGTATTTTATCTCAGGAAACTGTCTAGAATCACTTCTTTTAATTGTCCTTTATTTATTATTGAGCCAGAACAGGGACCTTTCATTTTAGATGGTGTTGAGAAGGGCCTTTATTAGAATGGCATTAGAGGAACATTGAAGGAAGGTTTTTTTTTTTTTTTTTTTTTAATCATTACATCTAACAGATCTCAATAACTTTGAAATAACTAATATGTGCCACGTAAAATTTTTAAAATCTGAGAAAAGAATGCCATAAAGGTAAAAAGACATGAACATAATGAATGTAATGTATAACTAACTATAGATCTTGAATGTAATGCTACAATGCATATTTCTGAATTCTACTGGCTGAATTTTTTAATATAAGTGAAACCACTTAAAAATTAATTGATCTTCCTCCTCTTAGCTGATGGAGCTCATAATTAACTACTTTTCAAAAAAGAAATGAGGCTGGGCATAGTGGCTCACACCTATAATTCCAGCACTTTGGGAGGCCGAGTTGGGCCCATCACTTGAGCTCAGGAGTTTGAGACTAGCCTGGCCAATATGGTGAAACCCGGTCTCTACCAAAAAATACAGAAATTAGCTGAGTGTGGTGGCGTGCACCTGTAATCCTAGCTTCTTGGGCAGCTGGAGCAGGAGAATTGCTTGAACTTGGGAGGTGGAGGTTCCAGTGAGCCCAGGTCATGCCACTGCACCGTAGCCTGGGCGACAGGACAAGACTCCATCTCCAAAAAATAAATAAAATAAAATAAAATTAAATTAAAATAAAAATGCATGTGGTAAATATGCTAGAAAGAACTAGTTCCCACTGAGAAGCAGCTGTCAGATGGAGCTGGCAGCACAGGCTGGGTTGAATCCCAGCTCTGTAACTCAACTACTCTGCAATGTAGGCAAATGACTTAAAATTGTGTCTCAGTTTCCTCATCTGCAAAATAGTGAAAATGATATTATCTACTCATTAGGCTTGTGGGTGGCTTAATGTGCACTAATAATGTCAAGTGCCTCAGAACAGTGCCTGGAGTACAGGAAGCGTGCAGGATGCTATTGTTGTTATATAAAGGTGTTATTGACACCATTAATATTAGTGTGAAATTGTCACTTTTTATTCACTAGTCAATGGGTGGGGGGACATTTCATAGAATTACATACATTATAAAGTTTTATTTTATTAGAGACAAGGTCTTGCCCTGTTACCCAGGCTGGAGTATACGGCATGATCATAGCTCACTGCAGCCTTAAATTTCAAGGCTCAAGTAATCTTCCCACCTTTGCCTCCCAAAGTGCTGGGATTACAGGCATGAGCTACTGACCAGTCCATATTTTTAATGTTAAAACTCTTATTTTTTTTTTGAGACGGAGTTTCGCTCTTGTTTGCCAGGCTGGAGTGCCAGGCTGGCGCAATCTCGGCTCACTGCAACTTCCGCCTCCCTGGTTCAAACGATTGATTCTCCTGTCTCAGCCTCCCCAGTAGCTGGGATTACAGGCGCATGCCACCATGCCCAGTTAATTTTTGTATTTTTTAGTAGAGATGGGGTTTTATCATATTGGCGATCTGCCCGCCTTGGCCTCCCAAAGTGCTGGGATTATAGGCATGAGCCACCATGCCTGGCCAATGTTAAAACCTTCAACCCATTTTCTTGTTCTGAAATTTTTTTCCAAAGCATATTTCATTCACTGTGATGGCTTTTGCACACTGAACATAATAGAGTGTGTACAAACGGTGACATATGTATGTGTTGTATGAATAATTTAGGTAAGATGTTTACAGGAAGAAACCCTGAATTACAGCTTCAAAGATGTGAGAAGAAAAAGAGTGAAGGTAGAAAAATGAAACATTGTTAATGGCTAAGATTATAACTGTGATAATTATTTCTGATGATATTTCATCAGATTAGGCATTTGCTCAGGCCCAAGATGAAGATCCATTTTGTCTGTATGGATTTTATGAACTCATGTAGGATTGTTAGTTTTTAACACTAACAGGCAAATTCAGGTGTTTTGTTGCATCTTTGAAAAGTCATGTTGTATGCTTTTATTGCCCTAATACCTTGTTTTGTTTCTACTTTCAGAGTTCTTACGGATATGGTGACCTATTCTCTGACACATGGAATGCATTTACTGATTATGACGTTATACATTTGAAAACTTATGATTCTAAAAGGGTACTGGAAATTTTCCTGAAATGTCTGAATGAATATCTGTTGTGTGCAGATGACTCGCTCATAAACATTTATTATGAGCTCCTATTAGCCATCACCACTGATTTCTGAATTTCCTTTATTATAATTAGAATCCTCAGTGTTGTTAATCATGCAGCCTTTGAAAACTTTTTTCTATAATTTTTCCAAAAATATGAATTCTGTTCTCTTTGATTGAAATAGTGTGCTATTCAATCTTAATGCAAAATGGAGATTAATTAAAATCTATTTTTCAAAATTATAAGTGCTATTTTGGTGTGAAGGGTGCAAATTGCATCCTCTTATCTTTTAATATCTCTTTGTTCTTAGGTATGTTTTAAAGAAGCTGTTTTTTCATTACTCCCCCGTATGAGGTATGGGCTGTTCTATAATACTCCTCTGGTAAGCACAATGAGCATTTATATTTACAGATATTATTCTTGATAGATTTTAAGATAACATTTGTATGTAATTTGACAGTATCTTAAATTACAATACAGAGTATTCACTGTAATATGAACTGGTGTTTTTATTTTAGATATCTGGCTGTCAAAATACTGGACTATTCAGGGCATTTTCCCAGCATGTACTACACAGACTAAACATCACACAAGAAGGACCCAAGGTAATGGATACACTGTGGATTCTGAGGTGGGCTTGAGTTTTCTTCCCTAATAAAAATCAATACTATCTTTTCAGAAAGAGAAATAATCAGGAGACTGTGTTTTTGTGTTAACATTTTCTGGGGAGGCTAAGGCAGGTGGATCACTTGAGTCCAGGATTTCAAAACCAGCCTTGCCAACATGGTAAAACTCTATCTCTACAAAAAATACAAAAATTAGCCAGATGTGGTAGCATGCACCTGCAGATCCAGCTACTCAGGAGTCTGGGGCATGAGAATTGCTTGAACCTAGGAGGCAGAGGCTGCAGTGAGCCCCGATTATGCCTTTGCACACCAGCCTGGGTGACAGAGCAAGAGTCTGTCCCCCTAAAAAAACCAAAAACATTTTCTGACCTAGAGTCCTCTGAAACCAGGCGTCAAAAACCTATGAAAGAGAAGATAAGAAATATTATAAGAATGCTTCCTCCTGCCTTCCTTTCCCCCTTCATTGGCTGTATCCCCCTCACCTCCCTAAATCTTCATCTAACCTGCACAACCCCTGCCAAGAAATTCACCCACCCAGCCAAACAGATAATGTGATGAGCTGGTTTTTGCCTTCAGTAGCTAAAGTGGATATTTTTTTATTCCCTGAGAATGGTGAAGGAATCAGGCTAAAAAAGAATAGTTCATTAATGTATCCTGGTTGAGTTTCATCTCTTTGTGAAATTACATTTTAGGTTCAGATGTTCATTCATCTACCCAGACATTTACAGTGTTATTTTGCTATTTCATTTCGATTACAGGATGGAAAAATTCGAGTCACCATTCTTGCACGGAGCACGGAATACCGGAAAATCCTAAACCAAAATGAGGTTAGTTTTTGGTATGCATCTTTAATGCCTTCATATTGAATTTGCCTTCCCAGGACTACTGTGCTTTGTTTTTTTTTCACATTACATTAAAAGCTTTGGTTTAAAACTATTAGTTTTGAGAAAAGTTTGATGGCCTATATCTAGTTCATTTACTGGATTTGAATTTCTAGTGAGATTCACCAAACCACCCGTGGACAAACTAGCTTTGCCTTATAGTAAATGTTCATCTGCATCAACTCAGCATGGGAAAATCTATCTGAATCTTGCCTTTACTGCAGTAGAGGGCATCTGGACAAATGAGTAGCAAAAATGCAAGACTTTCTTTTGCATAGTTGATGCAAAAAATGGCATCAATCCTGTGGTATCAGTGGCAGATTAAGTTGCAAGAGTCTCTATCCTCTTACGTGACTATGTCTTAGAAACTGCATTTCAGGCATCCCGACTCATTTCAGTAGCACCAACTCATAAATTATATTTAACCTCAATGAGATCACCATGCAAGGCTACTACCTACAACATCATGGCCTGAAGATAGCCTCGCAGTAGTAAGAATTTATTCCACAATAATTAATTGAGTACCTGCTATGTGCCAGGCCATGTTCTAGGCCTGCCCTCATGGAGCTTACACACCAGAGGTGAGGGACAGATAAGCAGCAAGTAAAGAAGTCAGTAAGTATGGTGATGTTAGGCAGTGATAAGTGTTTCAAAGGATATGAACCTGGGTGATGTCATAGAGACTGGGGATGTGAACGGAAGGGGGTTGGCAGTCAGGCGAGAGCATTCAAAGAGGCGCTGCTTAGACTGAGACCTCATCAGAGATGAATCTATCAAGAGAAAGAGCCTCCTGGGCAGAGGTAAATGAGCTGTCAGTATTCTAGAAACAGAGAGAATACCCCAATATGCCTGTAGCGTCGTGAGAGAAGTGGGGTGATATCCAAGCACTCAGAGAAGTAGGGCATGGTGCAGGGAGGCACAGATCAGATCAGCCTCCTAGACCTTAGTGGGAGAGGGATTTTATTCCCATGAAATTGTAAGTAGGGTGTTGTCAGTAGAATGTCTCTTCCTCCTCCCTGCAAAAGATGTCCACATCCAAATCCTTGGAACCTGTAAACCGGTTAGGTTACATGGCAAAGGGCAAGTAAGGTTGTGGATGGAATTAAGGTCCCCAACCAACTAACCTTAAAGTAAGGAGATTATCCTGGATTATCCATGTAAGCCCAGTAAAATCAGAAATGGGCCTTACACTCCATCCGCCAGAGAACTTTTGCCTCTGTCTGGAAAACTTTTTTCTTCACCGGATTCTTCTCATTGGTCAGATCTCAGTTCATCATTTCCTTAAAAGTGGGAGAGGGAGGCAGGAAAGAGTCAGAGAAGGAGATACAAGGGAAGTGAGGCCAGAGATGCCACGTTGCTGGCTTTGAAGATAGATTGGGCATGCCTTGGGCCATGGAGTGTGGAGGGCTTCTAGAAGCTGGAAAAGGCAATTTTCCCTTCTTCCCTGGAGCCCGCAGGAGGAACACAACCCTGCTGACACCCTGATGTTAGCCCAGTGAGACCCATGTCAGGCTCCAATCCTGCAGAACTGTAAGGGGATCAATTTTGTTGTGTTAAGCTGCTAAGTTTGAGGCAGTTTGTTACAGCAGCAAATGGAAAACAAATACAGAGGGAGAGATGTGAGTTGACATTTATTTTTAAGTCATTCTGCCTGTAAGAGTTGAGAGCAGGGAGATTGATCAGAAGCTGTTCTTGTGGCCCAGGGAGAGCATTTAGCTAAAGTGATAACAGTAGAGATGACACGGTAGACAGATTCAAAATATATTTTGGAGATAGGATCTATGATACTTACTTTTGGAACATAAAAGTACATTCACGTTAGAGAAGGCCAGGAAAGGTATCAAGGATCAAGTGCGACTCGAGGCTTTTCAGTTGAGCAGGTAAGTGGAAGCAAAATGGAAAATAGTAGGAGGGAAGCGGGGGAGTCAGGTTTTGATGGGTAAAATATTTTACATAGACTAATTTGGCTGCCTAACAGGCTGATCAGAATTATGTAATTAACATCTCTTCCTAAGACCCATATGGATTACAGAGGACATGAACATATGGCATAATGAAGTGTTAATTGTAAGCTCTGTGGATGGAAGAAATGAGCAGTGTGTGTGTGGGTGGGTGTGTGTGTATTTGTATGTGTGTGTTTAAAGACCTAGAAATAAGAACATATCAAATAGTGCACTGTTGGGTATACAAATGGGAAGCCTCAGTAGCCAACAGGTCAACAGTATATGTTGGTATAGACCATATGTATTGAGTGCTAATTGGGGGTCAAGCATATTATTATTGCTTTTTTTAATTTTTTTATTTTTTTGAGATAGAGTCTCGCTGTGTCACCAGGCTGAAGTGCAGTGGCACGATCTCAGCTCACTGCAACCTCCGCCTCCCGGGGTCAAGTGATTCTCCTGCCTCAGCCTCCCGAGTAGCTGGGACTACAGGCGTGCACCACCACACCCAGCTAATTTTTGTATTTTTAGTAGAGATGGGGTTTCACCATCTTGGCCAGGATGGTCTCGATCTTTTGACCTTGTAATCTTCCCGCCTCGGCCTCCCACAGTGCTGCATTACAGGCATGAGCCACTGCGCCTGGCCCTAAAGTATATATTGTGTGCTTCTTTTGTACATTATGCCTCCCAGCCCTCCCAGCAAACCCATGAGGTAGGTATTGTATTATTGTCCTCTGTTCTAGACAAGGACACAGTGGTTAAAAAACATGCCTAAGGTTACCCAGCTGGTGATTAGAGTAACAGGGGCATGAGAGAAGGTAGTCGGGGACTGAAACTGCTTTCTTAGTCAGAGTGTGCTACTGCTAAAACAGCAAATAGACTTCAGAGGAGGTGGAATCTACCCCTGGCCCCTGTCCATCAGGAAGGGGCAGGCTAAGGAACAGCATCAGGCTGCTGCAGAGAAGTCCAGTAGAAAGATACAGTGCTGGTAGCTGCTTCAGTGCAGGGGTGAGGCTTTCAGATCCAGTCATGCACCTTGCCCAGATGATGGCGGCCAAAGGTGAAATTTGATCATTCAGCCCCCAACTCCAAGCCAAAGAGCACCCAGCTGGCTGCTTCTCTCCTGAGGATTGAATGTCACTAGAAAGGCAGCTCTCAGGCAGGGAAGAAAGCATCTTTGGCTGTACTTCGATTAATAAATAGCTAATACAACCCAAATGGCCTCATTAAATCATGGCTTGTGGAATCCTGCCCAACTTCAGGGTTTGAATAGCCACTGGAAGGGTTAGGACCACCTTTCTTGTGCAACTAGAAGTCACGAAAGAGGGCATGCTTTCCCTGAGACCCTCGGCACGTGTGATTCCTTCTATGTGGGCAATCTCGTTAAAAGACCAAGGCTTATACCATCTGACTGATTCTCTCCTGTAAAACAGTTCTAATCTTCCTACTCCTTCCACTCTTTATAAGAGTTCAGGAGCTATCTGGAGAGAGAAATTTCCATGTCATGATTCTGTGTGTGTGTGTGTGTGTGTGTGTGTGTGTGTGTGTGTGTGTGAAAGAGAGAGAGACAGGCAGACAGACACACACACACAGGGGAGGGGGTTAAATCTCGGTCACTGCTTGTTGCTTTCTGTAAGCAGGACAATAGAGTACACTGGTTAGGAACACAGGTTCTGGGGTCAGAAGACCTAGATTTATTTTTGTCTGTGCATTTGGGAGCTATAAGATCCTGGAAAAGTTATTTTACTTCTCTGAGCCTATCTTGTCTAATTTGTAAAGTGGGCATAGCACTAATACTTACTCGATAGGACTTTTTTTTTCGAAACGGAGTTTCACTGTTGTTGCTCAGGGTGTAGCACAGTGGCACAATCTCGGCTCACTGCAACCTCCACCTCCTAGATTCAAGTGATTCTCCTGCCTCAACCTCCCAAGTAGCTGGGATGACAGGCATGCACTACCATGCCTGGCTAATTTTGTATTAGCCAGGATTTCACCTGGTCAGTGTTGGTCAGTCTGGTCTTGAACTCCTGACCTCAGGTGATTCACCTGCCTCGGCCTCCCAAAGTACTGGGATTACAGGCATGACCAACTGTGCCCAGCCATTTGATAGGATTCTTATGACTATTAAATGAAGTAAACCTGACGACATACTTAGAAATGCCAGCACCATTTACGTGCTCCGTCGATGATACTTGCAACTGTTGATATTGCTGTTGTGGTGTTGTGTATGCCACAAGGCAACATGATACAAGTGCAGAAATTTCTGAATGGTGCTGATACCCAGTGGCCTAATTGTGAGGGACATAGAGAACCATGACTATATTTTTGATAATAGATTAACAATGCTTTATTACTTTTTGTTTGCTAGAAGAATAATTGTTTTACTTTTTTTTCTTTTTTTCTTTTTTTGAGACAGAGTCTCGCTCTGCCACCCAGTCTGCAGTGCAGTGGTGCAATCCCGACTCACTGCACCCTCTACCTCCTGGGTTCAAGCGAGTCTCCTGCCTCAGCCTCCCAAGTAGCTGGGATTACAGGCACCCACCACCATGCCTGGCTAATTTTTGTATATTTAGTAGAGATGGGGCTTCACCATGTTGGCAAGCTGGTTTCCAACTCCTGACTTTAGGTGATCCGCCTGCCTTGGCCTCCCAAAGTGCTGGGATTATAGGTGTGAGCCACCACACCACACTGGGAGCTTTTTAAATGACACCATTGATTATCTGCTGTAACACATTTATTGA